GGAATATTGTAGCAGCTTGATCAGAAATACGATAATAAATGTAATCTGTTAATATACTAGCTTTTCTTCTTCGATGGTAATAGTAAAGAAGATCGGGTCGCGGCACCAAATATTAGAGGATTCCGTGTACCTTCTCGATGTTCGTTTATTTCGAGATATCGACGCGAGAACAACAACAGAACAGAATCACGTAAGCGACAAGAGAGAGAGCATATATAGAAGGGATAAGCGTCAAAGAATGAATAAACAGATGCCGATGAGTCAGGAATAAACATATGACTGTAACAATAAGCCTTGACTTTTTTGCTCTATTGTTGAATACCTTACACGAGAAGTCATAAAACGTGTATTAAATCGGCACTTGTTTTTTTCACGAAGTAAAAACGAACTGGGTGGGGGCGTGGATGTGGGGTGCGGGTGTTGGGATGAGTTTTCTATTCATTCATGCCTACACCCACACCCACACCTACACTTACACCGGCACCCACACCCACACCCTCAAGCATGCTTGTCTCTATTATTTGTTGCTATTAATTATTTATTACTTCATTTATACCATCGAAAGTTACTGACAAAGAAAAAAAAGCATTCTTTCTGTATTTTACAAAAAGTTTTCGATTGAAAACCATTGCAAATCAAGAAACAAAAAAAATAATCGATGAATTGCTTTGAAAGGATTTGGTAACAAGCATTTTAAGGTTCAATATCTTCACGAATGATTCTTTTCGATGTTAAATCAGGATAGCCATCTTTAAATTCCGTTGTTCGTCTATGATCCTTTCGGCGTCGCATAGACCAATCATCTATGGTCCTCTCATGAATCTTCCAAGGTTTTCCACGGTCTCGGTTTGCACGATCTGGACGTGTCTCATATTCTTCTTGACTATCATTGTTGTCATTACGTCTTTCGCCTGGCTGACGATCCTGATTATGACGACCATCGCGATTCCGATTACGATAATCGTTGCGATCTCGATTGCGACGATCGTCATGATCCTGATCATGATGATGATGATGATGATGATGATGATGATGCTTCCCTTGTCTTCGACATTTAGTACGGTGTTTCCACCGCTTGGAGCAAGGGTGATGCTTCTTCCCATGTTTTATTCTTATGTTGCCTTTACGCATTCTCCAATATCCTTTATTTTTATCTTTGGATAGTGAATCGTTGTCATCGTCTTCATCATATTCATGAGCAAATATTCGCTGTTTTTCGTTTACACTACCATGATTATTCTTGCCTGATAATCTATTTCGATGATTCAGTTGCTTTGCATTTCTGTCTGAGATACGTTGACGATCCTTGTTGTCTTCTATCTTGTCTATATTATCGTTTATTTCACTTCCTGACACGACCAGAGCTGTGCTTCGTTGCTGTTTATTCTTTTGTTGTGCATCGATCACTACAAAAAAAAATTACGAAATCTATGAAGTATGAGGCATGTAAATCATTGGTGTATCCTCTGAAACAATCGTTCTCGACCTTATTAGCTGATGAAGGAACTCATTAGTTTTAGTTAATTGCATAATCCTTGGAGAATTGAAATGTGAAACTGGATAGGGAGAATCTACTGACGAATAGAATCTTAGACATACCGATCGTTTCTACAACGACTACAGAGGCAAACATAATGAAATGCCTTTCACAGTTCGTGATGGTAAGATGTCTGTCTGTCTGTCAAAGTTTCTCAGAGTAAGTAGCTTGACCCAAATTTCTCACTATGATAACTTAAAATACTAATTTCTAATAATCTTTTGCGAAATTCAAAACTAAGTAAATATTGAAAAGATATCAAAAAACTGAAAACCTATTTCACAAGAAAAAACAAGATATAGCGAATAAATGAAGTTACAATTGGTGCGCAATGTGTACTACTACAGACTCCGTCACTGATCTAACAGACACTAATAGAGAAGCTTCTATTCGATCAGCGGGTGATAGGAGAAGGAGTTCGAGTTTCTAGTTACATATTTCAACGCTTACTTTCAATTGTGTTTTACAAAGTATGGAAACGAATGGAAAATATGCTTTTTATTGTTTCATAGAAATGTTTCCTATATTTTATTGTTACTACTTTGAATCGTACGAAATCAGAAAATAGTGAGAATATAATCGATGCACATTTCTCACCTTGAATGAATATGGATATCCATATGGTAATTAAGAGTAGGAACAAATATGAAGGCAACCGCTTCATCGTTGTTTGGGTTGCAAAAAACGAAAATACGAATGAATACCAAAGATGGTAGATAATCGACGATATTCTCAGGTTACCTGCTCCTAATCGTAAAGAATGGTAAATGAAATTCGAGAAGATATATAACTGACCTTTTGTTCGAACTTTATTCGATTAGCATACACAAAAGAAACTTATTACACAAAGATTGTACTTCGGGGGACATTCGATCTTCTTCGACGAAATCAAAATACAGTTTTGATTACTTTACTCTCCTTTCCGTGCTGATCAATGAAAGATATTTGTCGATCAACAAACGTTCTTTCAAAAAGAGTTGAATGCAGGTGGTGTTGGTGTCGGTGCTTGAGTCGAGCGAGAGTTTTATTTTAAATTAGCCATAAATACACCCAGACCAATAGCCACACCATTATAACATGTCCACACCAGCAGGATGATATGTTCAAGGTGCAAAGCAGTCTAGAAATCGTTTTTCTGTCATGGGATTTGAGTCGAATGCTGCGCTATTACCTCTCATGGGCGTGTTTGTGTGAAGAAAAAGTACCTAGGTCACTGTCACTTGCTTAACTTGAAGCTTATGATCAAGTTTACATGCTTAGTGTAGGAATTTTAATGAAGAAATTTGTTTCTTGAGTCGAAAAAACGATTTGTTAATCGTACAATATAAAGTAAATGATATTGGAAGTGGTTGAAAAGATCGTTTTTTTTCTCATCTATAATGAGTTATGATGATCTACAGTGCATAGGGTCTACAAATTCTAAATTTTCGACCTCCTAAACCTATCAACTTCGGAAATCGTTGCCGTTTTTGTTGAGATTACGGAAAATTTATGTAATAAATACGATACTTCATAGCTTCTATCCACATCGATGTCTAAAAGTTTAAGACTTTTATAAAGCAATATGGTCGTAGTGTGGTTCCAGAGGAAAATGTTCTGTAATAAATGTTTTGAACAAGTATATCCTCTCTACGAAATCGATAGCATTCATGAGTTTTGATTTCAAGCGCTATCTCAGTGAATCGAATGAGAAAATCAACTACTAATTTATATTACCAACAGACGATAGGAACATTAAAGGTATCAATTTTCTATCTTGTTGGCAGCATCTGCATATTTTTGCTCTCGGCCGAGATAGCTTTTCCTTATCTTCAATATCCGTTTAATGTCTGTCTCCATGTTCTTTACATGTCTACTGTTTGTTTTCGCCCATTCGGCCGTTTGCTGTAATTTTTGACGAAGCTCATCATATTTCAGCCTAGTTAGGTGAATGATAATTATTTCTCACGATTATTTTGACAAAACTTTTCCAATAGGAATGACAGTATAGATACAAGCATTCACAAAAGAGCATATGCTGCTGCAGATAGATGATCGACTCTGTATTATTACAAGTATACAATCAATACTTCAATAAGACCTCCACAATTGTACATTGATAGAATACGAACTTGAATCTTGCTTTTTAACTGAATAATGTGCAGCAAACAGAGATTTCTTTTCATAAATCGACGCCGATATTCACTTGATCGCTAATTTTGGCCTCGATTGATTGCAACAGTGCCGTACACAGAATGAATAGACCCATCCTCATAATCTACATCCACATACACTCTGTTAATTTAATGTAAACAGCTCGAGTCAAAAGCATATATCATAAAAACAAGTGGTGACATTTACTATAAGACAAATGGTAATAGCATTTTCTAAATTGTTTTTTTCTATATCCCTTGTTTTTCCAATGTGAAACTCTGAAACATTAAATACAATATTTACACACAAGGGTTAGTTAGTAATCTACGGATAGTACCATCTATACAGCATAACTAGCTAGTGAACAAAATAAATGATTTTGAAATGATTAATAAAAAAATTTACATTGTCTTGTTTCATTTTTGAATTGACTACCATTTTTACTAGCTAGCGTCTGTAACGTCCGTTCATATCATTTCAAATATGCATTATAATTTTCATCCAGTGGAGGTTGGCAATGATAATGATGCGTTTTACCATAACTTGTAGACACAAACGTACAGAGTTTCTCGATATTCGATATGAATAGGTGTGATTGAAGCGAGGAACCCAATTCATCCTGACGCCATCCTCTTTTAGTATGCTTTTGTAGAAATATTGTTCACTAATATGACTGAAGAAAGTCGTGAAATAATTTTTTTTTCTGTTAAAGCGTCGTCGCATCGATAACACGTGCGTTCAGTCAACTCAGGTTGATTATATTACCAAGGAGAACATCGATGAAACATGAAGTTTTTTCGACTTCAAAAATAAATGGTTAGTTGTAGATCGTCGAACTTTTCTACATATTTTGTTCAAGTTAGCACGTAGTAATGAAATAAAAATTGTTTGAATTGAAGCTACGACACATACACGTACAATAAGTACGCGCATTTTTCGTGTACTTATTCGGCTCGTCATCCTGAATGAAGTCTAGAGAAGATTTGATTATTATACATCTTTCTTATTCGGTGGTTGAACGCAAAATATTTATAGTCATAATCAATCAAGACCAATACCGACGAGATGGCCGAGCGGTTAAGGCGTTAGACTGCTAATCTAATGGGCTCTGCCCGCGTGAGTTCAAATCTCACTCTCGTCGCCACTTTTTTTTTCTTCCTCTCAACATTGAGTTTTATTGTTTTAAATAAACCATTCCAATATTATCGAATGAAATGGAAGAATCACGTTATTAAATTGGAACAATGCACAATGTTCGACTCGACATTGGAGTTTTGTCAAGATGTTAATGCGAGAAGCGTAATTCATCGTTACCTACAGGGTGATGCAATGTACAATCATAAATGGAAACACTCTTGGAAATTGATTGACCGTCTCAATCAAGCGATCAGTCTTTGTTGCCCAAAAAAGTAAGCACTCTTACAATAATTGAAAGCAATGAAAGATTGCACTATTAGTGAAACTGACGGTCACTCTCAGCAAGACTGCAGATGATTAGTAGACTAGGAGAATGTCATATGCTAACATCAATAAAAATAGATTGACAAATACCGTTAAGCCTGTAATGACTCATATTGTTGGCTGGCAGGCTGAAATAATAAGGAAAACGAATGGAGCTTGTTTTCTATCCAGTAAGACTCATTGGATCTCCCTACATCCAATGACACAAAAAAGGCTTTTCTAACAGGTTCTTTCATGTCTCTAAGTAAACACAAAAGGTATCACAATAGGACAACGTAAACTTCAGGGCAAGTTTTGAAAAGACTTGTTAGATTCATGCTAAGTATTTAGAAGAGATGACACTTGTTTTTGTAGAATTCACTGTGAAAATAGTGCGCGAAAGTTTCAATTCGCCAGTTTCTTACATATAAATAGGTTTTAATACTCAACAAGTAGTGCGAAAAAACTAAACATATCTAGAAATCTTGTCTTCTAGTACATCGTACTTCCTTATTTGAAGCTGCGACATTCTAATGTTTCTTGTTGTGCTTGCAATTCGAAGCATGAAAAGTTCAATGTAATATTTTCATTTCTATCCCCAATAAAATAAACTTGAACTTCTAGAACATTTCAAAATTTACAGAGCAGTACAAGTTCTAATAGTTTACGAAGCGAATTGTAATCTCGTAAATGTCTCAATAGACACAGATATAATTGATCGGTAATGTTCTTGTATGTCTAAGGCATGACAACAAGAAATGAAGCATCGACGTTAAAAGATAATATAATTATTATTTCAATGACGAAAAAACTTCAAATATATAATGACATGTTTGGACACAAATCGATAGTAGCATCAATTCGAGTATTAAATCAAAACTAAACAGACGATGATTGGCAAAAAACGAACTGAAAACAGAGACGATCTACATCAATATTGTAATCGTTGAAGAAAAAAGAAGAGCTCTTTGACGATCAAAGAATTCAGATATTATTGGAAACAAGCTGCGAGAGGGAAACGTATTAGATTTGATCCATTTTCATTTTCAAACTGCTCTGAAAAGCTTCTCTGATTTAAAAGCCTCTTAGATATGAGCTACTTTGTTTTGAAAATGCAGAGTTTCAGCAACTACATAGCTCTTTTCTGTTTAACGACCACTTGTGTGAGCGAGAAAATCTATTCTCTGAAGTTATTCGTGTCCTGCACGACTATCTGACGTTCAAAGCATGATCCTCTGTTCTCAGATAGGTAGCATTGAAGCATTTTCTTTATTTCGTGAAAGGTGTAGAAAATGATAATGTTATTGGTTCTTTCTGTCGCTTAAACATTCGGTGTCCTACAACAGCAATGACAACAATGAATTCAATGCCAAGTATGACAATAAGTGCGATTGTGCTCCAATGCAGCTTGCCAGTTGATGATGGTGACTTTGGGCGATTAGTGGCTAACATATTGAGCAGAGAACCTAATCGTTGGCCTGCTTGAGTAATCCGTTTTTCAACTACTCTAATGTTTTTTTCATAGTACATGTTGCCCAAGTGAAAAGCGACCGAAGCATTCATTATTGCATTACTTTCATCTACGTAAACTTGTTCACAGACCCAAGTCACACTCTCCGCAATCCATTGTTTGAAATCATCGTTGTTACTCGTTGGTGTTTGATTGCGCATGAGTTCATGAAGATATTCGTAGTACATGGCGATATTAGATTGAAAATCGCGTGAAATACGCTGGTGAATGAGGCCAGAGTCCCATACAGAATGAAGATTTGTCTCGTGCGGACTATTCATGAAAAATCCTACGAACAAAAACATACACTCAAACAATGATTTCTTATCGTCACATTTCGTCATTACCTTTCACTTTATTTCCACCCAAGTCTCCTGCGAAACTAACATGCAACGGTTGATGGACATCACCGGCAAAATGAACAAGAAACATAAGTGCCTCTTGATGTTGTGCATGATCTAGATCAGCAGCGATAACCCGTTTGGAATAATTTCTCAGTGCACCATCAATACAAACATCATTGTTGCAATCTCTTTGTGGGTTGTAACTACAAGTCCAGTCAGGCATATCAATGTAGTGTAATGGTCGAGACCATTGCCAATTTATATAGTCAAAATGATTGGAATTATCATGAATAATGTCATCGGCCCACGAGGCTACGCGGGTCAAATTACCAAACACGAACCAAGGAAGAAGAGGTTTGATCCATTCGGATGCTTCCTTAGTCAATTGACTCTCGGCTAGCTGAACAACAAGTGCATGCCCTTCGAAACCCCATCCGTGAACATTTGGCACGGTTACTTTAATAATCAAGACCAGTAATAACAATAATGCAGCCATTTAACTAAAACTTTGTTTGGTTAAGATAATAACAGTAAATTATTGATATGAATCAACATGAAAACAGAAAAGTGTAGAGTGAAAAAGAGATGAAAAAATACGAGCAACAACATGCCGAGTATTGTTGAGGATGTAAGTAAGCAGGTGCAGTTGTGGTAGGTCTTATCTTTACCTACAGCTTTTATTTAAAAAAATCAACAATGAAACGAGATACTTCACAGCTAGAAAACTAATGTGTTTTGAAGAATAAAATGTATTGTTTCAAATGAAACCTTCCTGATTTTGTACAGTGTACAGATTACGTATTACAGCACTTTGAAATTATCAAATGCAAAATAATAAGAAAAAAGGCATATAGATATAAATCGAAATACACCATAAAACTGAAATTGCCATAACCTTTGAACAGTCATCGTACAGAAAGCAGCAAAGTCTCATTAGAAATTATGAACACAATGCTCACTAAAATTGAAAACATTCTAACAAATCTGACACTAAAATGTTGCTAAATTTTTTCTCTCCTACTGTATGCATATAGGTTGTTTCAAATTCGAGTATAAAATTTTGAAAAATCATTCTTAAGTGCCTTAAAAGAAATTAAAATGGAAGGAAAAAATAGAAAATATCGAATGATGGTCCCAAAAAGGTTAAGAAAAGTATTGTAAGTTAAAAATAATCAAGAATAAAATTTTTTTTTTCTTTTGTTGAAATAAACTCTGTTATAAAACAAGTATAAGAAAATATATAAGATACTAGTCCTTCTAATTTTGTTATCTACCTTTCATATCACACCAATAACATTTATCTTTACTTTTTGCCCTTCAATATCGAAACAAATGCTTTTTTTGTTTGTATATTTCATTGTTTTCATCACATTGACAACGAATTTCCAGCACTCATACTTGATTGAAGTTTATCAAATTTTTATGTACATTCACTACTGCTTATGTTAGAGGATTCTTCATGAATTTTTGGATGTGTTGATGTTAAAATTAAAATTTTCAGAAAAGAGTTTGTTTCAAATTTATAAGCATGATAGAAAAATAATTCAGAGTGGTAGTCCTTAGTATAACTGACAATCTATGCCAAGACAAAGAACATTTGATATGAATATGAATACGAATGTTTATTAAACTCTTTAAATTCAGCATGACGTTTTACATGAGAACAAGCAAGACACATAATGACTTTAGTTTTCTTCTGTTTGCAACAGTTTGATAAATTCATAATGTGAATATCAACATGAAGCAAATCTTCATTAGTCACATGTAATTCTCATTCTTGCGTGGTGCTATGCATGATTGAATTACATGTCTCTAAATTGAGGATTTTAGAATGTGAAGTAGAAAACAAACTTCTGTCAAGTGTATGATCAACTTTACGGTGCGACTAACTGTCTTTGTGCTTATATGTTACTGCGACCAACCAATGTTTCACAATTGTCACTTTTTCGAGCGTTATATACTACTATGAAGCTTATTTTCAACGTGTATTTAATCGTGGCAAGCAATATTAAGAAAACTAGTGAAAAATGAACGAAAAAGTCATGATCAATTGTCGAACAGATACTTGAACATGGAAGAGCATTTGAATAAAGTATAGGGTGCTCTGGAATGCAGCTATTGTTACTCTATTCGGGTGAATATAAATCAGAATAGGAAAAAGTATAGAATGTTTATATTTTGGCTGTGAATATTGCAAGATGAACGGTCTTATCAAAAGATGTTGTCATTTCAAGTTGGTTTGATAATATTAATATGATTGAATTGGTAGCCACTTTTTCATGATATTCATTAACGGATACTTGAACCGTTTAGATTGCAAAGATATAAAACATTGTGGATTAATTTAACTCATTGACGTTGAAGCATACCAAGCAAAAATGGTCTCTTCATCAACTTCATCTTCATCTTTACTCAACCACAGTTCCGTTTAAATAATATTATAACTGAGTCGGAAAGAGCCCAAAAGTGATGAAAGAGTTGAGTTATTTGCACTTATACTTTGTTAAGCTCCCATAGTAGTTTCAAGAAAGAATTTTAGTACTATCACATCGTCTGGATTACAACAATTCAAAATGTTGATTGTTTCTAGTCTATAGTCTTTGAGTATTCTCAAGAACATCGTTTGAGGTGATTCATCAACTGAACAGTCATACTTGATGAACCATAACCGTTGCAACTGAAAGGAGTCGAGTCTAACACCACGATGATCAGGCAGTAAAATAGTTATATCATAAGTAAATGGAAAAAGCATAGTTGCAAATTGAATAAAAATCAAACCAGCTTCACCACGATTATCTGTCCTAATGATCAATATACTATTCATCGTTTTCTTTTGATTTAAGGAATTAAGACTTGCTGTAGAAATAGTAATCTTTGTATCATTTGGTTTTGCATTATTCATCAGAATTTCTAGCTTGCGACAATCAATTGAATAATTTAAACTAGAGGAATAATACTTGATTTTGGTCAGAACTTTTTTGTCACATGTATGAAGGTGATATTCAATCAACAGTAAACATATATTCCTTTTCTTTTCTTTGATGATAGTGGCACGGACGATGAAACTTAAATATCGTTGTCTACGAGCATTACTATATTGTTCTATCCATATCAATATCATCAAACCACAGGAAAGAAATATACGCTTATTGTTAAATGAAGATCACCTTAATATATGTGACAACAATGTTTTGAAGAAGATTGATTATGCATATTTTCGGAGAGAAAATATGCCCCAGTTGTTGTATGCCCATTGATGTTTCAAATGTTAAAAAATGATCAACAAATAATAAAAAAAAGAAGCAAGTCTATTTTGAAAATTGATAAAAGCAACTAGAGAAGATATTTTCGATCGAAAACTATATCTTTACCTTTTGCCTTCCACTATAATGAGAGGGTGTGAGCGTCATTGACGGTATGGTTTTCTATTGCTTCAAAACTACATTCATCAAAAATCAAGATCACAGAGATGTATGTTTCGGTTCAAAATGGATTCAATTGACCAAGATGAGAAAAATACACGATGAAGTGATCTTGGCTACTAGTGATCCTGTTGAGATCATTTATGAAAATATACTCGGTAATTCGAAGTTAGACTTCTATCTGAAAGGTGTATTAATCAATTGACAAAGTGTGTCTGATGATGATTGACTTAAAAAAGATGTCGCTAACACATGTAATATTTTATTCAGATCTTTCCTCTGAAGAATTATCGAAGATTTCGAGAGAACCAGCTGACAATCTCAAAATAGTTGATCATGTACTTCGAGAAGCGTAGATTTCAAGAGGGCACTACTATCTCTTCCTTTCTCCGAGTACGCTTCTACATGAGTCACTACAAACTGTTTCTCAATTCAATTAGAAATTATGTAATTTGCTTTAATATATTCAATCAATGTCATCTTCAATAACATTCCTATTATAAAATAGAATATAAGTTTGCATTACATATTTTCCAACATATACTATCGAAAAGATTTTTATTAATGGCAATGATGCTTGGAAAAAGCCAGCACACTGATGACTCATCATCAAAAGGACGTAAAAAATACTCAATTTTCTTTTTCTTCTTTCTTCCATATGAAGCGTTTTTTGGGAAGGCATTTAACCATTTTGGTCGATTCGATGTTTCAAGTAATGGTCGAAAGTGTCGAAATAATCGATACTGATAAAACAGTATTATATGCATTCCGTTTTGGAACATCTAATAAACTTGTTCATCTCACTCAACAACAACTTAATCGTATTCCTTATTTATTTAATCTTGTGGCACATAAAGATGATTTTTTATTAGTTCAAAACGAAAATGGTGAATATATATTAAGTCATCCAATTGAATATAATTGGTTCATGCCTATTCTTTGTTCAATTACTTCCGAACAATCATACACATTATTTGGTGAACTAGTAGAAGATGATAATGTTGTGGATACACTTCAACTGTTTGATTATCTAGGCATCGATCCATTTCCTTTACCACTTTTAAAAGACAAATCTTTGGTTCTATCAAATCCAATCAAAATTGATGATAATAAAAAACAAGTTGTATATCACAAGGCAAATATCTCAGAAGCACGACAGACAGCTGCAGAGTTCATCATAGCTCTTAGTAACAATGAATACGATTTACATGATCTTTCCACCCTAAATAATATTTATTCTTTGATCATAATCATTCTTTCCACTGCAACTATTTTTCATTCACGATTTCGTCACCATACGCTAATCGTGGCGAAAGAATGTTGTTATTCGCTCTTTTCTAAAAAGCAACGATGTCTACTACCTACCCCTCAACAAATTGCTCAACATCGTAAGATCGACTCCTTAATGTATTTGTACAACGATGATAAACCCGTTCCTGACGACTTTTACAATACATTCGCTTGGAGAGGTGCTTTTGAATTAAAAGAAGACGATCGTACAGATTCATTATCGACAAACTCGACCAACATTTCTTTGTCTAATTCATCTGAAAGAACAAGTCCTATTAATGACATGCTATATGAATCACCCTATATCGACTCTTGGGCGTGGTATATTCAAGAGTTACTTTCTCTTTTATCACGACTTGAATGTAATATAGATTATGATTGCAATATTGTCTTCCCTGAGAAGTTACCCATTTATCAAAACAAACAAAATCTAAAGAACGATGAAGCACAATCAGCTCGATCAGGTCGTTTCAATACATTACCTAAACGACTTAAGGTCGACAAATGCAAACATCGATTTGGTCCAAAAGCACAAAAATATCGATAAAAAAAACTGTTTTCGAAGAAACAATTTCTTCTTTGTTTGTTTCAGATAATAAACATGAGAAATCGTTCTAGTTATGTTTGTGTATGGATCAAGTCTTGATTTAAATATAATATGAATTGTATGGAATCTGTTTAATATCCTGTTTCACTCTTCTTTGAAATTCTTGTCGCTGCTCAGGTATACGTTTCTACTAGGGTTCATTTGTTTCGTCAAGTAAAAGAGGCGATCCTTGATAGTATTTTAAAAACATTCGTAAAAGATCTAGAACAGAGACATGTGCTATTTTGAATAAGATTCTTCCCAGTGTTTAGTCTTCAAAGTTCGCATCTGTTCAAGAGAAATATTCAATGATGCTTGATACTTTTCTAATTTTATTCTTTGTTTCTGAGAAGATCATGAACTAATTAGACTGGCTCAAAAGTGTACAAGGAGGATCCTGAAATGCATACCCTAGCAGATATTAAAACAATCATTTTTGAAAAATCCTAACAAGTTCGTTTCATTTATTCGTTCTAAGATCTTGAGTGTAATTTGCATGTGGATGAAGACAGAAAAACCATATCTACACGAAATTTCGCAGTCATGCCCATTTAAAGCTCGCATAGATCATATTAGCAGTTTTTTTCTTGGTTTCTATCAAATATCAACTGAGATATAAAGAAAAAATAACATTGTCTTTAATAATTTATGATGTATACTATCGAAGATCATGATCAATTAATTATTAAACGATATTGTTTTTTTCCATGATATAAATGGTTTCATATGAATGAAAGAGTTTTTTTATATTATTTTTTAATTCATTATCATATTGTAATGTTTCAATATATAATATGATTGCTTCATTTGTTTCATCATATTTTTCATTAATAACATGAAAGTTTAACTTTTTTTGTTCATAATCATTTGATACTTGATTGCATTTAATTCGAATAAGAAATTGTTTTGGTTTATATTCATTTTTAAGATAGAATTTTTCTACAGTATCATCAGACGCTACACCTACTGTTATTTTCGTTTTATTAACTTTTGTTTCAAAATATTGTAATAATTTACTTCCAATTCCATGTCTCCAATATTTATATAATACAGCAATACCTTGTAATGTAATTGTTTTTTCATCATATTCACATCCATATATAATACCACACATAATATTATTAATGAAAGCAGCTACAAATAACGATGAATATTTGTTAAATTGATTTTCTAAATAAGTGAATGTCCACTTATCTAAATATTCTTGTTGTATATTCCAAAATTGTTCAAGTTCTTCATATTTGATATTCCTTATTTCAACATAATCAATCAAATTATTTGTCATTGTTGATTGTTTCTTTCTTTTGATTCAATCATTCAAGTTTAATACCTTCAAACAAGAAACACAGCAATGAGTTAAACAAAAAAACTTTTCGAACGTTATTATTGATCTAATGAAAAAATTTTTCTCTGAAAGAGTCAAAGCAAGAGCATGAAATTTTCATTCTAGTTGACTGTTTATGTTTCTCTTCAGTGATCTATAAATAGTCGAATATTGAGTCAACATATTGAGCAAAGACTTTTCATAGATAGGTTAGCAAGATTACTATGAGTCAATTGAAACTTATAATCAAAATCAGCTCATTTTATATAAAAATGATTTGTTTACTAAAATTATCTAGAACTAGTCCATATTGTCGCTTCTGGAAAAGTGTTCATGTTCTCTTTCAAAAAATTGAATATATAATGTTTAAAGTTAATAATGGACAAATTTTGTTGAGGGAATGTCCATAGAAATCACTTGACTTTGATTTTATTGGAAAGAGTCAACTTAATAGTGCAAAAACTTATTATTCTGTCTAAATTTCAGATTGGATTGAAATAACTGTGATTTTTGCAGTAAGTGAAATTCATTAAAAAAAAGTTAAACAAAGTTAAGACTCTTACAGAACTGTTGTTTTACTACAAATGAAAATGATGTTTTAGCCATTATGATCTTGTAGAGTATTTTATGAAAAATATTATTTTACTCATCGAATAAGATTTCATTGAAATTGAAGTAACATTTCTGGTTGAAATAGAATATTACAATCATGAAGTATAAAGTAAAAATTTCGCTTTGAAATAGCCTATTCTCTATCATCTAAACTACAAAGATATGACTTACTCGGGACTACTCCAACATACCAGTTACAATATTTTTTCTTCATCATATAACAAATGAAAGTTTATCTACTTCATCATGAATCATAATATTATCTATTCTTCTATTCATTACACTTTTATCTCATACTGCAGCATCTTCTCAAACTAGTACAGTGTGAAAAAAAGAGAAAAATACATCAGAATTTTGGTGTTGGTATGGATGTTATTTCCTTTTCACCGCCACTCACGAGCACACTCACACCCAAAGATTTTCCTTATAGATAGGTTTATTGGGAAACAGCATATTGAAATGTCAATAGTATGTTGACTATAGAATAAACGTGTTATCTATAAATTATAAACTCGGAATAATACCAGGTAGAAAGGAAACAATTTCATTTGTTCAAATTTATGTTTTAGTTATTAAGACCTATAGATGTTCGTCAAAAAGCTTCAAGAATATTTTTGTCCTAAATATGAAAATACTTTTTATAATATACTTTTTTTCAACGAAATTTAAATCAAATATATTTTGTCAAGGATAGCAAACAAATACTAAATATATCTTCTTTATTTATTTCTTATTTGCCTCATCCAGTTATATAGTATTCAAACCATATTTCTATCTTTGAGATTTTTTGTATTTTGTTTAAATGTCACATCAACTTAAACAGATTATTATCTCTATTTTACCATCATACATTTCGAAACACAACTGAAGCGTATGCTGAACTTATAAACGCAATAAACGCTATTTCAGACGATAAGTTTGGTAAAATAATTAATTCAGAATCATCAAGTATTGTTCAACGTGTCCATGAATTATTCGATGATGTTATTTTTTTCTTAAATCAACATTTTCAAATTAATGAAGAACAAGGTTCACAACTGTATCGTCTGATTAATCAAATAAAACGTATTTTTTTAGATTTAATGCGTAATAATCAAATAATGGTTAATAAAATTTCACAATTAGAAGACAATATTCAAGTTTTAAAGAAATGATCAAAATACATAAAAAAAAACTTCGTACAACGGCGGAAATTTTGACATCAATCGTGAAGGATATCAGAAATTTAATAATAAATCAACACGTTCCTGATAATTATTATTCGAAAACAATCATTGATGCTTGTTTATTGCATTTCGAAGGCAAAAACATCTCATGGAAGATATCAGATTTTAATCAAGATAATCCACGCGTACAATTTGACAATAATAAATTCAATCAATTTGAATTAATTAATTAAAAATCATGCAGATACTTTAAGAGTTAATTATCGTATTTTATTAGATCTCTTACGTGTCAAATTTGATCATAATCAAATAAACCATGAAGCAATTAAAAACTTTTTGAGATCTAATTCAGATTAGACTTCTATTACATAAACATTTCGGTTTTCTCTTAATTTAACACATTCGATCATGTAGAAATGATTATTCGTTTCCTGTAGACTATTCATTTGTCAACAATCTATATTGATCCCATCGTACCTCGCAGTCGAGTGAAAAATTGAATGTCATCCAGTTATTTGATTCTGCAAGTATGATTAAAAACGGCTCTCAAAAATTACATTTATAAGAGATAATAAGACTGGGAACAAAAAACTTCTGCCATATATAAACAATGTCATTGAATCAAAGCATGATAGAGGAGAATATGTGATAACTATATCTTCTTTTTCTATTCAATAAGCAAATTAATTTTGATAGATACACATTTTTAAGAGTAAAATTTTGTTTTATTGTGTAAAAATTAACAAATCTTACCGATTTATATGTGAAACGACTCAAAAAAGTTATTAAGGGTTTCATTTTAACAAATATTGAATAATTCTACACGAATGTGAGATATCTAATGATATTAGATAGAGACAATTAAAAGATAAATCTTCATATGGCTGTTTATTTACGAATTTAATTCACTAAAAAGTAAAATATCTTTTTATACCTATTCCATATAAATATAAGTTTGCTTATTTAATTAAACAAAAACTTATGAGAAAAATATTTGACAAACATTATTAAGAAAGAGAATTTCGATATAAATGCATCTTTAGCATGCATAAATCTTATTAAAACTCTTTCAAGACGATTGCTAAAATTTAAATCAATATTATGAGATAATTCATAACAAGTAACTATACAATAAAAATGAATGATTTGATGAACACTTACATTTAATAATGAAATATTAGGATGAATAGATTTTAATTCATCAACAAATACTTGTTCATTTTTAATTTAATCAAATGGAATTTGTTTATCACTATGAATATATCACGAAGCATATGCAATGTTTCTATGGGAAGATGAAATACTCGTTCCACAAAAGAGTTGTTTTCCTTGATTAATTATTATATTTGTTGAATTAATATTTATATCTACATAAAGTAGAATTCCATGAAGAAGATTTGAATAACGAATCATATTTGAAGATGGAATAAATTCACATGATTCATTTATTGCATTTCGTGTTGATTCATCTTCGTTTTTATATCGATCAAAATTTTGTACATGATTTCTTTCAATTCTATTAGAAAGATTTTTAATAGAATTATCTGGAAGAGAATGAGAAGAAATTTGAATTAGAATTAAAAAATTAAAAAGAACATTTCTTTTTTAGAAAAAATAATAATTAATTTTTAAATGAAAACTACTCTTCTAATCTTTGAAAAAAATCCTTGTTGATATTGTTACTGATTATATTCTTCTTGATGGAATTATTCAGATTGAGATCTTTGTTTATCTTGTGTTAATTGTTGACTTTGAAGTAATTGGCTTTGTGCTTCATAAATTGAGATGATGATTTCTGTTGTTGTGGGATTTGTTTTGTTATTTTTTTTTCTTCTGCTTTAGTTTGTTCAACTTGTAATGATAGTTTAATCGCTATAAAAATCATTTATTTATTTATTTATGTAAATAAAACTTACGTTTTTTTCCTTGAATTTTTTAATAATCAATCTAACGGAATGCCTCGTCGTTTAAGTGTATCTAATGAGGAAGCAAGTGTTTTTTTTTTGTTTATAAACAAATCGCGTTAATTCAGTTGTAATATCAACATAATCAAGAGTTGAGATATTTTTTTTGAATAAATAAAATCATTTTACTTTTATCATGTTCAAGTACAGATGAACTACATTCGATGGACTTTATCAAATATTTCAAACAGAATCTTACATTTAATGTAATTGTTCTATTTCGAGATGTTAATTGACTTTGAATACCTGTAGATTCATAAACAAAAAATTTCGTTTTTAATAACTGAATACGTTTTTCATTAATACTTTCAATTCTTTCTTTCTAAAAATAAATAAATTGAAAAAAAAATCTATTAAATTAAATTTTATACTTTAGTATTAACCAATACCATATCTAAACGATAATCAATTAATTGATGTGATTTTTTTTAACTTCGTTCGGTTATGAAAAATTTTCCTAAAAAGCAAATAAAAACTAAAAATAATCGAATAATGAACTAAAGATATGTAATCTCTATGTATTAAAGTTCTTCGAACAGATTCTGAAATCCATTTTGATCCAAATTGTTTATATCATTTTGTTAATTCAGATTCATCTGGTGCACATCATCGTCGAAGATCAATAGACGATTGATGATCATCATCGAAATAAATTTCATTTAGTTTTGCTATTTTAAATATTCGTTCTTTATTTCCATCTAATTTTTCCATAATTTGATAAGATAAACATCATGGTTTATTTATTAAACGAATCCGTAATGGTTCAACATTAAAATTCTCGTGCTACATTTGATAAAGCAACTAATTGTTTTGAACAATTTGTATAAACATGTAATTTCACTGATATAAGATGATTTGAAAGATTTTTAGCTTGAATAAAATAACTTGATTGATGTTCAATAAGTAGATCAGCTAAATTTTCTGCTGATAGATAAGAAACAACTCCAATACTGAGAAGAAAGGAATTCACTTCACAACCATAATCTGTATAATCAATAAATAGATAATGTTGCAACATCATCTATTTTATCTAAATTTGTTTCATTCGATTTTGAACGATTCAACAAAAAAATAGAGGTGATTTTACATAGATATTACTTTCTAAAATATATTTTATTATTTCTATTTGGATTAGTAAAAAAACAATGAACGGATCTAGTAAAGGAATAAATGGAATGTTAGAAATTCTTTGAATAAATTTTCTATTAAGACCATCTAATTTATTTAAATAAGAAAAGTATTTTGTAGCAGTTTCGACAATTAATAATTGATTTCTTTTTTTTTCCACTAAAAGATCAAATGTCAATGATAAAGGAGGTCAATGTTTAACACCAAGTAAACCAATAGCAAAATATCTCGAAAAACAGCGGATAACTTCAGGAAATCAAGATGGAAATAACGAACGAAATTCTAGTTTTGTAATAAAAAATTAAAATAAATTTAAATTTTGAACATATCTTTAAAAACTATTGCAGGTGTTGTTGTTTTGATCGATTTATATTTAAGGAGAAGATGATATGGAAGAAAAGCACTTCTAATGTTGACATTTTCCCACAATTTCGAATAATGTTCTTGAAAACCTTCTGCAAAAAACACAGGTGCTTTCAGTGACTTATAATCAACTTTTGTTTTTGGTTCAATATTATGTTGATGATCAATTTGAGATATCAATTAATGTAAATCTAGTAGCTCTTTTACACTAAGTTCCTCGAGAAAAGCATATGCCTCTGAGCCTGCATCAATATCTGGCCAATCTATTATTGATAACATTTTCCATTCCAGTCAATTAGCTACTGATGGAAAATGAAGTTCACTAGAAATGTATTTACGTTGGAATTCACCACTAGATGCTAATATTGTTCCTAGAACAAATGACAACATTAGATTTATTAATTTGTTCGTATGAATCTTGAGAAAATTTGTATTAGGTACCTAACAGAAACAAAAACGAGACAAATGCATTCGAAAAAAACTCATTCTATGTAGTTCAATACATGATTCAAACATTTTATTTGAGTATAACTTTGAAAAAAAATAATAGTTCGTCTGAAGAAATAATCTTTCTATTTATTTGAATTTCCATGTATTGAGCTTTTTATTATATCTATAGCTGTTAATTCGTCGAAAAATCTCACTCGAGACTCGAAATAAATTAATCTTGATGAATTACCACCAGGTTTTATTCTAGATAATCTAATAGTGAAGTGTGGGTGTGGGCACTGGTATAATCCTCAATGGAATCATGCCCACACTCACACATCTACACTCACCTTAACAATTCTCATAGGTCTGACAGTCTCTAATTATCGCCTTTTGATAATAATCAAACGATGAGTTTCGGTAAGTAAAGACAGATGTTTCACCTTGTATAGTTAGTTGTCTCCTTGTTCAGTTTGACCGAAGATACTGTTGGGTTGTAAGAAGTCACAATTGTATTCTCTGGCGATATGTACATGTTTTAAGGAATAAAGGTTTGCGGTGAGTCATAATGGAAAGATGAAACAGTTACAATGAAGAGTATGTGATGAATGTGGGGGAGCGAATTACCGCGACGATCAGAACTGATGTTGATAATATTACGTGGAACAGATTCGTTAGAATTTTATTGGATCTGATCATAATCGATGGGTCGAAGCTTTGATGTTTTATCTCGTCTTTTTTCTGATCAATAGTACACAGATGAAATTTACATTCTTCAAAAGATGCTATAAACATATTATTTCTATGCTTGAAGGGCAATGTAATCATCACTTACGTACATTATATAGAATAATCATTTGTTCTAGAATTACTTTGAATCGAAGAGTGTTGACATACACTTCAATAGTATGATTCACTTGCGTAAATCTCATTAATAGGAATAGTATAACAAGACATCCTATATAACGCCTTCCTCAACTGATTACTTTCATGCATATAGTCTAATCAAAAATTTCTACGAACATAAAATGTCGGCTATTCTCACTCGTTTCCTAGTATTGATATTTATTATTGTCAATAGTGCGGAAAATACTAATCATAACTTTATAATTAAGAAAGATTTTCTTTCTGGCATTAAATCGGCCGAATTTTCTGTTTATGATGAAAAAGAACAACAAGTCAAATATCGTATTGAATCTCGTTTTCTTCCCAAACATAATAATAAAATTATTGCCTATCCATCGAAAAAAGTCATAGCCAAATTGACAGGTCAATGGTCATTGTTGGCTTATTCTGCCGCTATTTCTATTCTCGATCCACAATCAAATACATGGATTGATGGTAATATTACAGATATTGGTGGTTTATCTGCTTATGAATACATCATTTATTGGAATGGTGAACTTGTATCGATTAAAAATCCATCATCTTCTTCTTACATTAAATTTTATGATAAAATGGAGAAAATTGATCTGGCTCGATTTCGAAAACATAATGCATTATTGAAACCGTCGAAATACGATTTAGAATTGTTATCTGATAAATATCCTGATGCATTGTATTTACTTGGACTAAGTGTTTGGGATCATGATTATTCACAATTTAATAGAGGCAAAAAATGAGGAAATAAACATAAATCGAAGTCGTTAGTTTAAACACATGTTTTTTTTTCTTTCACTAATCATATTTACATTTTCGAAAAGATCATCAAATAAATTTTTGCCATGTCTGAGTTCAATTTTTCTACTGCGTCTGTTTGTCTCACTACTTCGAGAAAATCATTAAAAAATTTCGAAACCTGGTTGAATACGCAATGGTTCATTCTATAATGTTGTTGACCGTAGAAAAGCCAATGTTTTTCTTATGTTTACATATGATAGCCAATGTTCCATGAGATCGGTGCCGTAAAACGAGAACATTTCATTACTCTTCAGCTGTGATCTTCTATGACTGATACATGCAAAATAAAAAATCAAATAAACAGCAATTCGAAAAAAATATGATCTGTTATATAAAATCACTTCCCTCATGGTTCTTCGTTCAACTATGGCTATTGTTGTATTGATGATTGCTATTATGACAAACTAAAAATATCATCAGCGAATCATTCATATCATAGGCTCAGATAGATTATAATTTAGAACTATGACTTAAAGACATAGATTAACAATCACAGAGTGATATTTTGTAAAAGGCATGAATGCGAGGATGTGCAAAAAAAAATTGGCCAACCCTTTATTCTTTATTGAATCGAGCTACATGTTGCGATTTTACTTTAATAAAAAATTCATGAAAAAATCGTCACAGGATAATGAGACACTTTGGTAAATAGGAGACTACGATTCTTTGCACATATATATCAATATCTGGCAGGTGTATGTGAGTTTAAGTGAAAAGGATAAAGGCACACGTCTTTCCACACACCCAGTGGCACTCAGCCATCTTTCCTCTCACATCCGTACACTTTTTTCTTAGGCTTCTGATTTTCTATGACTGCACATTCATTAACTCAGATTGGTTATGATCTTTCACGTTATTGAAATAAAACAAGTTTTATCTAAACGAAATTTTGCTTTGTGTAAAATCATATCTCTATCTTGGTGAATACTGTAAAGATTTTTTTGATACAGTCGATTACTAAATCATGCGCTTGTGCCGTAAATGGAAACGCGTCCGGCCTCTGACTGAAAGATAGATGGTTTAGATGTGTCCAATAACCATGACCGTTTAATAATTATATAATTATGAAATAATATCGTAACAGAAGACAAAAAATGAGCTAATGACATGACACACGTTTGCGTTCTTTTTCCCAATGCTGAGTCATCGGATAATAGGTAAAAAAGATAATTATGTGTATGATGTAATTACTTTTTTCGTTCGTTGTTTGTAAGAGCTATTTCATAAGTATTTTTTGATAAACATATAAGAAAAAATGCGACATTACAGCTCTTGAATGGATTCGAACCATCTGTCTTCCGGTTAACAGCCGGATGCGTTTCCACTTACGCCACAAGAGCACGATGAATAATAGTTTTTAGTTCAGAAAAATCTTATAAGTATTATTAGCCAAACTTACACTGACAGCGACAGTTCGAGTTTTTACTTGACGCTTTATCAAATGATACATGATTAAAATCAAAGAACAATTTTGCTCGAATAAACCATTGCTTTCACTTTATCAGAGAGAATAAACATGACTGACCCACTCGCAAAATGAAGTCGATAGGAAATCGACAAATTTTCGTATGATACAAGACTTGGGCGTAAAGGATGCTTGCTTCTAGCTGAATAACCATGTGTCGCGTTACCAAGACTCATCTCGACTTCACTATTGAACCATACATATAAATTTATTTCTGCAAAAACAGAGTTTTTCTGAACGATCAGCGTGCTCTTCACAGAAACAAAAGATGAAACAATAGGCTCCAAAGGCAATATCGATCGAGCTCTTTTTTTCCGCCAATTAACA